CGGGACCCCCGCGCTGCCCCGCGCCGATGGCCTGGCGCTCGCCCTGGAGCCCGCCGGCGCCGCCGCCAACTTCTTGGCCATGGTGGACAATCTGCAAGGGGACTCCGGTCGCGGCTACTACCTGGAGATGCTCATCGGGACCCCGCCGCAGAAGGTAGGCGGGTGGGCGCCCCGCAGTCCCGGCGTCCGCTTGGCGGGACTCGGCGGGGTTGCAGCTCGCCCCGCCCGCAGCGCTGTGGCCCGAGAGCCGAGGAGCCCGGGCGCGCACGGGGGCGCGTGGTCGGGGGCGGGGCGCGCGCTCGGAGGGCTCGGAACTTGGACCGGGCGGCGCGAGGAGAGCCCTGGAGCGGTTCTGGGAGCGAGGCGAGGTACCCGGGCCTAGGGCGAGAGGCTGTTGGAATAAGTCGGGGAGCCCCTGGGGTTCGTCTGCTCTCCCGCCCCCGCCCCCCGCTGTCCCTTGGCCGAACAAGCTCGCGGCCGGCGCCCTTAGGAGGGATGTGTCCCTGAGCTCAGCCAGAGCAGCCCGGCTCCGAAGTGGCCGGTTGGCCGCCGCCCGTGCAGCGGCGAGTTGGATCGTGCGCGCGTCCTCCGCGCCGCCCGCTGCGCAGCCGCTGCGCCCCGAGCCGGGCGTCCACGCGTGTGAGGCTGGCAAGTAGAAAGCGCGCCCAAGCGGCTGGGGTTAAACCCGGACCGGCCGGGGGTGACGAAACAGAATTGAAGCCCGGCAGCTTCTTTCACTTTACTCCGATGTTCATTTTCTAGCACTTTTGTTAGCAAGGGATAGGCGTCTCCAAGCACAGTCTTCTAAAAAAAGAAATTTCCAGGAGTTGCTCAGACCCCTCCTTCCCGCAGACTTCCTCATCCACGTGCGATTTGAGGTCAGATTATCTCATCAGTCGCACACACCGTGTGAGGAGCCTTTGTTTTTATTTTTAACATTGTCATTCGGGTTTTAATTCTGCCGTGATTGCCCATAAATAGAACATACTCATGACTTCTCTATAATTCTAATTAAATTATTCAAGACTTTAAGAGGAAAGATATGCCATGTTAATTCTTTTTTTAAAAAAGGAAACTCTGCTGAATAACTTCTGTAGTTGCTTAATTGGTTGGTTTTTTTTTTTTAAACCTTCCAAAGTATGTTATTCTGCACCAAAGTTTGGTTTTAGTTGCTGTGGTGGGAAACCCCGTGAGCCTTCTCTGCCATCCGGAGGAGGCTGGTGGCCGCAGGGCATCGGAGTCAGCTGAGCAAGCTTACCGGGCCCCATCTGCCACCCCATGTGAGCACCCATGTGCCCACACACACAAAACCCTGCAGGACACCGGGAGACCCTTCTGTGTCCTGTGAAACCCTTCGGATCAGATCTCCCGTGACTTCCATTTGGGAGACTTGTGCTTTCATGAAGAGAAGTTCCTGTTGGTTTTCTCAAGTGGAAGGGAATTTTCCCTGCTAAAGTGAGGTTGACTTGGCCCCAGGCTGAGCCCTCCCTCCCTCCCTCCCAGGAAGAGGAGGAAAGCTCAAGAAGGCCTGAGAAAGACTTCTCTTGGCTTTCAAAAAAAAAAAAAAAAAGATTTCATAAATAATAGCTTGCCTTTGTCGATGAATGCAGTGGCCTGTACTTTAAAATGATGAAGTTTAGTTAATTTCATTAACAGGAACGTATTGCGTGCCTGTATTTACAGCTTTGCCATAGCCAAGGAAGTGATTCAAGGTTGTCTTACTCAGTGAAACAGTAGTGTGTTCCAGGGAGGGCTGTTCGTACCCAAGCAGGGTTCTCTTGTACATGGGAGTGAGATTTTCCGCACCCCTGGCCTGGCCTGATTCCATGCTTTGTAGTGGAGTTCCTGCCCGTGCTCTTTCTGAGCGCCCACTGCCAAACTTCAGGTGCTGTTGACCTGTGACTGGCGTGCGTGATTCACTGCTCACCTGCGCTGCCATCCCGGAAATGCCCTGCCCAGCAGCAGGGTGTTCGCAGGGAGGTGACTTCTGTGTTCTCCTGCAGTTACTGTTCGGGAGTCATGCATTTATTCTCTGCTGAATCTCCGAAGCCTAAAATAAAAATTGCTTAGGTGGAGAGAAAAAGGTGATTGTAGATTCAAGCAGTAAATACCCAGGACTTGTCCAGTGGTTCCTGGTGCGAGTGAGTGTCTGGGCTCCAGGCATGTGTGCCCTGGCAGTCCCTGCCTTCTCCTCCTTCTGAGGTTCTGTGCATCGGGACAGGTGCCGAGGCTTAGGGGAGTTGACTCCCTTGGCAGGGCAGCAGGGCCAGCAAGAGGGAGTGTGGCGTCTCAAGGAGCTGGACTCTGGAACCCGAGTTCCGAGCCCAGGCAGGTGCTGCTCGCTGCCTCGGCTTACCTGTTGCCTTTTCTTTGGTTTTGGATTCATGCTGCCCTTTCCAGCCTGACACCCCGGAACTGCAGGGCTGCAGCTCCATCACCTCTTTCCTGTAGGAAGCGCTTAAGGAGTAGCACAGTGAATAGCTGGATCCGTACTAGGACGCAAGAGGAACAGGAGGCCCCAGCGGCGCCGGCGCACTACAGGTCCTCCGTCTGTATGGAAGAGCCAGGCTTTGGAAGTGTGCTTGTCCCCAGATGCTTTGATCAAGAACTGGGTGTCCATTGTTCTGCCCGCAGACTCTGTGCGAATCACAGGTATCTGCCTAGATGCCTGGGTGAGAGCCACGCGCCAGCAGGCAGGTCCACGTTGGCATGGAGATGAGGACCCAGGGTGCACGTGGATTCCATTATGTGACTTCTTTCCAACAGGAGGACCAGCCTCTGCCGGAACCCTGCAATTTGGTCCTAGTAATAATAATAATGGTGTCCTCAGGTGATTACAATTACAGCAATTTCCATTATATCAAAAAATACTTTCATGCTAACACTGTAAACCCAACGGAAGCCAGGAAGGATCTGCAGCTGTCTACTTTAGAGCAGCTTCCAAGGAAAAGGCTGTGGGGTGTCTGTCAAAGACTGTCTTCTCCACTGGGGAGGATGAACCAGAGGGCCGCTCTGTTTTCATAGTTGAGCGTTGGAATGCCAACAGCTAACAGATTATTTTGGCTCATGTGCTTGTTGATCAGCCTCTTGGTCCATACTGACCTGGGAGACTTCAGGTTGAAGGCACGCTCTGAGCCTAGACAGTCTAAGGGTGGTCTTTTTCAGAGTAAGCCTTCGGGGCCGCACGCCACATTGAGCCAACCGTGGGTATGGCCGGAGAAGGGAAGGCAGTCAGCAGGGCGAGGTGCGCAGGAACACACAGAGACGGTAGACTGTCGGGGACGATGCAGAAAGACAAGATCGCTGGGGTGAGTCAGCAAGGAAGTCCTAGCTGCTCTGCCACCAGCTCTTTCAAGTGGCCGTTCAACATGGCTGTTCCTGAGCTTTAGCAAAAGAATTCACCAAAGACTGGATGGAAGAGGACGTGCAAGCAAGCCAAGCTCCAAGCTCCCCGCAGCGTTGGGGGACAGAGCTGGAGAGACAGTGGGCCACAGCGTTACGGCTCCCTTTGCATCCTGCAAGCGGGTGAGAGGCGCCAGCTCAGCGTCTTTGCAGAGCCGAGTGCGAGGTGCATGGTGGGCGTGCGCCCCACCACTCGGCTGCACCCCAGCCTGCACCCCGCCACGTGGCTCACCTCAGTGAGTTTTCCCAAGGTCTCATGGAGTCTACAGTTGTATGACTCCGTTTTCAGACAGGGACGCTAAGACTCAGCGAGCCAGGTCGCGTGTTGGAGGCTATGCCTCAGCGGGGCAGAGAAGGGATGACACCCACCGCCTGCTGCCCTGTGTGTGCCGCTGTTCTAGTTACAGTAACGTTTGCAGAGCGCAGTCTTCTTGTCCCTGTCAACGACTCCGTGTCACTAAAGGCTTCCTGGGTGTGGCAGTGTCAACACCTGGGACCGCAGGCAAGTGGCTGACCACTCGGAGCTGCGGAGCCTGACCCTCTAAGTTCTGCACTCGTGTCCTCGGGCTGCTTGTAACCGTCGCCACAAACTGGGGTCTTCAAACAGTTTATCTACTCGAAGTCCAACGTCAGGGTGTCAGCAGGAACATCCTCTCAGAAGGGTCGGGAAGGAGCCCGCCCTGCCTGTTCTGTTTTGGCGCTAGGAATCGAACTCAGGACCTTGCACTTGCCAGGCAGGCGCTTGTGCTGCTGAGCTACATCCCCGGCCTGCCCTACCTGCTCGTGGCCAGCTGTGTTCCTGCGCTCTCAGCGCAGTCTCTGCCTCCATCTTCGTCTTTTCTCTCTGCCTCTCTGGCCAACCCCACCTCTATTTTTTTTTTTTTGAGGGGGGGGTTCATTTTTTGTTGTTATTTTTTGTTTTTTAAGACAAGGTCTTGCTATGTAGTCCAGGCTGGCCTTAAACTCACTATATAGCCTCGGCTGGCCTTAAACTCACTATATAGTCCAGGCTGGCCTTGAACTTGTGGCTATCCTCCTGCCTCAGCCTCCCGAGTGCTGGGATTGCAGGTGTGTGGCACCATGCCCGGCTACTGTCTTTTTTATAAGGACCCCCATCATCAGATTACCTGACCTTGTCTTAACTTGCTTTCCTCTGCAAAGATCCGCTTTTCAAAACAGGTACCAGGGTTAGGTCTTCAGCAGGCAACCGCAGCGCCGTGTATCCGTGTGCTGTCCCAGGTCAGGCAGCATGGACCATGGCAGTCCGTAAAACTGCACTGTCCAGCGCTGTGGCTCTCTTAGTTTGAGTACACTCTGTGGCGTTTGCAGGGTGACAGAATCGCCTAACGATGTATGTCTTTGAATGTAGCCCCGTCATGAATGATACACACATCTGTATCCTTTAGGGGAACACGGTGTAATCCACAAGTCCATTTTTAGTTTATCATTCTGTGGAGTTGTTTTGCTTCTATTCTGTTTCACTCTTACATTGCCAGTGATTTCCATTTGGAACTCGAGCATAACGTCCGTGAGGAGCAGTGAGCCAGGGTGGAGGCCTTTGCTGCTGCGCTGAGGTGGAATCTCGCAAGGTAGTGCCCAGGGAAGCGGGGAGGAGGAGGGAAGTTGCTGACACTTTTCTGTGTTTCTCTCTTACCTTCCTCATTGGAGGAATTGCTTAAAATCTTAACACGTCCCTTGTCATCTTGCCCTTGTCTGCGGAGCTGAATTGTGTGGACTGGGAGAATCCCGTCC